GTCATCAGATTGCCTCCAGCCTGCAACAGACAAGGACTTATTCTCTAGCATGTTAATAGTGACTTCTGGACTTGGGGGCCCTTCCAGGATTGTCTGCTGAGGCTTGGTGGCCACATTGTGTTCAGTACTCAACAGATAATCTTGTTGTCCATTGTCTGCATGCTCTGTTAATTTGAAATCTGTAGTGCACACTGTTTCGAATCTCTCCACATTTGGGGAAAGCTGCTCTTCAGCACTTCTGAATGATGCTTGCCTCTTGCAATATTAACAAGGAGGTCTCTCCACATTGAGGGGAACAATTCGTTCACATCCCTCGAGTGTTCTGAGTATCCTAGTAGCTATAGTGAGAGTATATGTGTTTCTAATTTAGATTTGCAAACTACTCACTGATTTCTTTGAATTCAAAGGAGTACTGGGCAATGTGAGGAACATATTAGGGTGATCAAGCCCTCAGTTCCAGTCATCAAAGCCTAGCAGGTTTATGGAAAGGTGGGTTCAGTCAAAAATGTGTAAGGATAGGTATACTAGCCTTATGCAAAGATTCTTTCTTTACCAGCACACTCAACTACTGACTGGGATAACCTAGTAATCAAGCACTGAGAAGGAGAAAGAATCCCCTAACCCTTAGCTTGAAAACCCTTTATATATGCATATACATGTGTAGTAGGATACAGGGTAGTCTAGTGAACAAAAAGGAAAACACCCACAAGCACCTACAACACATGTTGCACAAATGCACAGGTAGCACAATTGTTACACATACTAATACTTAATAGGAGGTAAGCATCTATGTTACAGCCTCATCAATTGCCTTACTGTTGTCTATTTAGATATATTCATTATATTTTAGGTATCACTGTACTCCTACATTCAGAATGGATACAATCTGGCGATTTTCCAGAAATACATCTACAATGAAAAACATTACAGCCAGAGACTTCAAAGATATTCTACAGGTAAGTGCCTCCCTCAAGACTATTAATATATATGCACTATAATGGGATGTGTATTACCTAGTACACCATACCAGCCTTCAAGGATTTACTGCCAAAGAAATATAATAAAGTGGTCCTTAACCTTTTATTCATCTTAGCAACCTAGCATACACTTGCAAAGCTCTGCATTCATACAGAGACTACAGTTTGGTTCCTTGAGGAGACAATGACATTGCTGGGATACTAAGTACAATGCTTTAAGAAGACTGTATGCTTGGCCTACAATACACACAAACTCCCAAAGGAGATTGCTGCTCAAGGACATCATCAAGCTGCCCTACTCAATAAGGGTAAGGCAAAGGGACTGGACGCAAAAACAATCAGATCTAGTGTGAAAACTAAAACACTCAACATTAATACACTGAAATTTTATTCTCTTGGTACATATGCTTCTGCCATTTGTTGATTTGGTATGACTGATTCATACAGTACACAAATTGTTAAGTGTCTACTTCACAATACACTCTCCATACTTATCTCGATTGTGTATCTTCACAGGGGGAGTCTTAGCATAGGAGACTCAAATGCATGTATGCTAGGATGAACAAGCAAGACACTACAAAAGCAGTTTCACAACTAGAGGGTAGGACCTGTAAGATACATAAGATTAATTCTTGTATCAGCCTTAATAATGGATCTGGGGATCCTATCAAGCTAAGGGATCTTGAAGTCCATTATAACATGGTAGTATCAAAAAAGGATTCTATCCATCTTTATTAGTGGCTTTCAGATAATGATTCTGACCCAGCTTTACAGGTGAGTACATTATTGGTCTCCTCTTTCTATTTCACATATACAAGTGCTGATGCATTACACACTTGCTAGAATTTCCTACCAAGTCTTTGCAGGCACCTACTTAGACACATTCTCTCAAGACAGGAAGACAAGGCCTTCACTACAGACAAGCTATGCAGCCTCTGCATAAAAAATGACAAGCTTTTCTGTCTCAAGGTGCTACACATCAATTACACAACCTACAATGTCAGGAGAGTCTAAGATTCACTCAATCCACAGACACATGCTGATATCATGTTGCTATCAGATAACACTGAACATCCCTACATTTACACTCGAATAATCAGACTTTTTCATACAGAGGTCAGCTATATGGGTCCAGGGGCCAACCCCAACTTCCAAAACTTTAATTAGCTCAATTTTGCTTAGGTTTGCTAGATGAAAGTCAATGAGAATGGTTTGTTTGTTGAGAGACGACTCCCTCAATTGCAATTCTATTGTCATACAGATCCTAGTGCCTTTGGATTCATTGACCCAGACCTTATTCTTCAAGGTGCTCATCTAATCCTGCAATTCTCTAAGGGTACCATCCAGACACTCTTGCCTCCATCCCTTGCTTGCCAACCCAAAGATAAGAATGAAGATTACAAATTTTACTTTGTAAACGTGTAAGCATGTTGTTAAGGCTTTCAAACTTGGAACATATTAATACTGAGTCATTTTTGGTCCAATTTACTACAGATTTGTTAATAGGGACATGTTCATACACCATTGAGGCAGAGGAATCAGACACAAAAGTACATAGTATTTAAATAGCTACCTACTACATGACACACTACAAGAACAAAACAACAACAAGATGGATGGTGAAGTATTGGAAGAGGAGGAGGAGACTGATAGTAATGACAAGGATCTTGAAAGCAAAGAACAGAACAATGAGGAAGGCAAATCGGATGGTTATGCAGACCTGTAGTGGATATTAGATGCACCATTTACATGTAAGGTAATTTTGTGGTCACATGCAGCAAATGACAATCTGTTGATCATCTGCACAACTGTTTTTGCTAATCAAATATGGCACTATGAGTATTCTACTAGGCTGATTCCTTGTTACCATCTTACCAACTTTTGTAGTGAGCAAAATGAATCTTCTTTTAATGGGTGCCATCTATGCCTCCATCTTAGCTCAGTTTACACTAACTGTAGTGTTCTTCAGAGCAATCCTTGACTTCACCACTATCACACAGTTTCTCACAGTTTACAGGATAGAGAGTGCTACATGTGTTGCTACTGTTTTTACAGATTCTTTCATTGCTGTCACTATACTCTATTTGCTGCATCATATGTCTGTTGGTAATCTTTAATACACTACTACTGCCTGATTCAAGCATATACAGAATTTGTAAGGTTGTTTAGAGACTCAGAACAATAAGGATGGCCATTGGGTCAAAGTTTGCAAGTAGTGTAGCATAACTCAACAGCTTCATCAAGGTCTTCTGACTGTTCACACTGCTTGTATCTCTTGCTTTGTTATCTTGCTTACTTTGTTGTCTCTCACAGTACTCTCCAGACACACTTTCACCTGGGCTTAGCTCTACAACAAGCAGTAACAACTCTCAATCCCCTATTGATAATCTGCTCAATGTTGACTTTGATAAACTTGCCAAGTACCATTTGTAGCCTCACACAGCACTCTCCAGACACACTTTCACTCGGACTTGGCTCTGTAACAAGCAGTAATGACTCTCAATCCCCTGTCAATAATTTGCTCAACATTGACTTTGATAACATGCTTGCATTCCTTTTGCTTCACAGTCACACACACACACTCCTAACAACTTGCATTCACAATTACCTTCAGTAAGTCCCTTCCCTCACTTGCATTTGACCTGAGATCTCCAGACTTACTTCTTATCTTACACAGCACTCTCCACACCTGCCCCCCCTCTGTTTTTTGGGCCAATCCAGACATGTACAAAACAAAGGACACAAAACATACATCCTGTAAGGCTAGTACTGATAAAATTCTGGGAGTGCTTAGGGAAGCACTCCCAGATTGTTATAACTGTATTAAAACAGCTAAAATTGTGTAAGTTCTTATATTTTTTACTTTTTTCTACTACTAACATTATTATTATTATTATTAGGGGTGGTATTCATGAGTCAGGTAATGACAATACTCTACACCTTCTAATAAGATGTTTTGGGAAGAAGAAATTGGTAGGATCTATACACCTGCCTTTTGTTAATAATGTGAGTTTTTTTTACCTTTGTCTTGTCTTTCTTTACTAATATTATCTTAAGAAATTCAATTTCAAGGGGGCAACTATTAGTTACAAGACAGCTAAAAAAATTGTAATTAAAAAGATCTTGTAATATTTTCTTTTGCTTTGTATTTTATTTACATCTGTTATACTTCTATAACACACACATTACAAACTAGTAGTATATATTTATTAAGATTAGAACCCTAAAAATAGAGTTTTTAATTATTATATACATTAATTTGCCTTTTGTATTAATTATCTACTAAAAATAAATATTTTTGCTTAATTATATTACAGATATCACTCTGTTTTTAAGATTATAATACTTATATAATCTAAGTATAATACTTTAGCTTATAATGTAAGGTTATCATAATGTATTCAATGAATTGTAATAATTCATAACACTCTTAGAGTCTTTATATACATTAATATACCTTATTTTATCCTTATAGTTGTGTTCTAACCCTTACATATGAATTACAATGTATATAAAATAGCTAATATTTCTTTAAATAGACTGTAATT